GGGCAGGGGGGGGGGGAGAGCAGGGCAAAAGCACATTTGGGGGGCACAGCGAGCGAGCTCAGCCCAATCTGAACCCTTTCCCCTACCTAAGCTGCACTCACAGGCGGGCGGCACCTACCATGCAACCTCATTTCCGCGCCTTGCGACATGGCAGTTGTCCGCACTTCTCCTCTTCGCCTCCCACGTATGCCCGCGCGCTCCCACACTCTGCACCTGCACACGTACCGCCCGCCCATGCACATACGCACACACACTCTCTCTCTCTCTTTCTCTTACACACACACACACCCACATACACATACACACACAAGCGCCCTCACCTCCCAGCGCCGCGGTCAAGGCGTACCCCACCAGCGCGTCACGGTTCTCCTCCCAGATCTGAGGCAGATCTGCTATCGGCCGCCACTTGTTCTCGGAGAGCTCCAGCGTGATCGCCATGCAGCCGCCCACCGCATAATTCCAGTCCTTTGGATAGAATTTCGTGGGGGGGAAGAGGGGGTTTGGAGACGGTGCTGAGGGTGTTTTGGGGGCGATCGGATGATGGGGATTGAGTCCGCCTGGGTGAGCGGTTGAGGGGCTGGGCTGAGACGACACCTGGTCTGCAGGATGCTGCTCAGTGGCAAACATTGGCGCAAGCCAGGAGGACAGCCTCAAAACCGCTGCCAAAAGCAAATGGTCTGGGAGAAGCCTCCCCTTGTTCTGCTGGCGCTCCCCCGCCCCTTTAGATTGCTCAGCGGCGCCTCACCTGCATGCCTCCATAGCTAAACGGTGGACGCGGGGCGATGCAGGGGGCGGGGGAGAGGTGTCAGGCAACAGAGGTCCGCGAGCCGTGGGAGCAGGAGCAACGGAGAACCTTTCCTTTGCCACAAGCGCGGCCCCAACAGCGCGATGGCCGCGCAAACGCAGCTCCTGCCCGGCTGGTCCCCTGCATTGCCAGATCCCACGCCGCTCAGACACCCTGGACCCTAAAGCCCCACGCAGCAGGGTCAGGTTTTTGTGCGGCTCACACAGGGTACCACTCCGCGCCGTTGGTGATGCCGTCTTCAAACTCCTGGGCACACAAGTGCAAGCGAGCAGCAGGGATGTCCACGCCAAGTCAGGTCGGCGCGTTGGGCCCGGTATCCACTCTGCTTGGTCCCTGGTGCAACGTGGGGCGTCACTGCTTTTGACTGCACGACATGGAATCAGCGCCTGCAGCAGGTGAATCAGTGGCCCATCCAACCATGTAGCAACCCCCTCTGCCTCCCAGCCGACCGTTGATTTGGACATGAAGGTGTGGAGAGAGGCGTAGGACTTGGCTAGGAACCTGAAGGTGATGTCATCGGGGGTGGGGTTGCGGGTCTTGCGCTCGTCCATGCCCTTGTCGGGGTACCCATCCCACGGGTAGTTGGCGACCTGTGTGTGTGTGTGTGTGTTGTGTGTGTATGTGTGTGTGTACGTGTGCGCGCGTGGCCTGCCACAGCTTGTGTACATGTGTTTGTGCTCCGTGTGTGTTCGTGTGCTTGTGTACGTGTGTTTGTGTTCCGTGTGTGTGTGTGTGTGTGTGTGTGTGTGTTTGTTTGTGTGTGTGTGTGTTCATGCTGTGTGTGTGTTAAGGCTGTGTGTCGGGTGTGGGTTGCAGTGTTGTAAACTCGTGTGGGCGCATGTGCGTGCACCTGGGCGCGTGCGTTCAAAACCATGCACATTGACATGCATGGTCCCAGATTGAGCGAGTTGCACAGAATGTGTCAAGGTCGTGGCCGTGCCGCCACAAGCCCCACCCCCCCCCCCCCCCCCCCC